CACATACACACACACACAGAGACACACACGTGCACATACACAGAGACACAAACACACATGCACACACACACACACACACACTCATACACACACATACACACACATACACACAGACACACACGTGCACATACACAGAGACACAAACACACACGCACGCATACACACAAGCAAACAAACGCACGCACAGATACACATGCAAACGCGTATACTCATAACACGTTCACATCCCCCCTCCCTCCCCTTGTAACACGTACTTTTTCCTCCTCCCCCACCCCATTTCCTCACTCAAAAACTTTAAATGGGCTTTCTACCTGAAATATTCCTTCGCTTTCCAGCCATTTCCCACTTCTCACCCATTTAGCAGGGTGTTAAAACGTTGTACAAAACCATTCTTTAAATCGACAAAAGTTTCTAACAATTCAATCCTGTCTTCTCTTCCGATACGGAACAGAAAAATCAAGAATAAGACGTTGTGGCGCTGCAGCGAGCAACATTCAATAAATAACTTGACATTTTAATTTAATTGCTTGCCAAAACATAATAATATATACTACTATGTGAGGCAGCGTGGTGGAATCAGGCTCTCGTCAATTTTTGGGCATTGAGAGTTATTGGTGTCATCTTAAAGCTTGTTCACTTGTTTTTATTAGGATGAAAAATATAACCATTTATCTTGAATACAAGTAGAGATATTTGCGAATGAAGGAGACCGGGTTACCTGTTTTCAGAGGCAAAATTAGTGACAAAATAGGCCGCGAAAGAATAGTTTTTTCCTTAACTTAAGAGTCCGCGGTAATATAAAATTTACATTTTTTGACTTTTTTCTGAAAAATCTTCCTTGAAATTAGTTCTTTAATGGGCATGATAGGTATTGAGCGAAAAAACAAAAATTTGACAAAATTCACAAACCTGCGGAAAAATGCAAGTTTCTTCACTTTGATTTTTTTAGACGAGAGCCTGATTCCACCACGCTGCCTCACATATATATGTTATAGACGTAACTATCCTTCACAATCTAGCAAACGTATCAACGCATAACATAATACATACTCGTATATTCAGAATAGTTGGGGTATCTAAGCAGTTTATCGAAGTATTCCTTGATACCCTCAATATCAGGGTCCTCTCTGAGACTTTGTTGGGTGATAAAAATGGTCTCTTGGAAGAAGATAAGGGGCAAATAGGGCACACGTCTAGGGGAGTGGTGCTCACTCTTCTTTGTCTGGGGGGGGGGGGGGGAAATGTGCTTCTGTTTGTGGTTTCTTTTTCTTGAGATTCCCACTTCCCATCGGCCCTTTCCTCGGCAATTGTTGTTTTGATGTCTCCGTTTCGAGAGTAGGGATCCAAGCAATCGAACATCGATAATCTAGAACTGAGGGGTGTTCAAAAGTAAACCACAGGGCTGGCTCTTCGTTGTGTTTAAATGACAGGTCGTGTGTGTTTGTGGTGTAGAGGTTAGCTTGTTCGCTGTTCCATGTCAGAACTTGTGAGTTCCAGAGTGATTCCATCGAGTTGGGATGCGGTTGAGGGTGTGTGTGTGTGTGTGTGTGTGTGTGTGTGT